TTGGCACAGGACAGAGCGGAGTTTAGGGCTGTTGTACATAGGGTCGCTATGAGTCGCAAGCGACTCGACGGCACATAACAACAACAACAATGAAAAAAACCCAAACACAACACCACACTGCAACAACACCTTTCCCCCCCCCAAAAAAAAAAAAAAAGTAGAGAAGACGACCATGAAGTGGCCGGGCACAGGGTTCTCTACAGTGGATTGGCAAGGGGGTAGCGTGTAGTCCCTGTGGTGTGTGTCTCCTGAGAGGGGGCATTTGGAAGAATTCTCTAGAAAAAGTGCATAAAGCCTTGAAAGGCAGAAGAGAGCCTGATTATGGGAACCTGGACATGCTGTCAGAATGTTCTGATTTCAGCCTTCATGAACTTCTGGCAAAATGGTCTGTTATCTCACATACTGATTAATGTGGAGTAGAAAGACTCCGAGGGCTCCTCCCAGGGAAATTGATTACCTCCTAAAAACTGCTTTAGTGAGGTAAAGCCATTTCCCCCCAAGCTCAAGATGGTTTTTTGGAGTCTTGAAGACACGATGAGTCCAAATTGGGGTCAGCCCTTCCCCAGGGGAGGCACACTGGTTGGTTTCCTTAACCCCCAGGGCACTTTCTGTCCCTAGGTGGGAGTGGAAATGAATCATCCTGTGAATACAGAGGGAAATAGCAACTTAGCTATATCCCGTCTTGCGAAAACAGCTTTGTCTGAATTGAGAGCAAACAGGACCCTATGGACACTGGGATAGTTCAGTCTGAGAAGTCATTGACAACTGGGAAGCGGTAGACTTCAGATCAGGCTGGGGTTAGGCTGGAGGAGCAAGGAATTCTTTTCGGAAGGATTCCCCCTTTAAAGAATTGGGATAAATGAACAGGGACAGCCCAGGATGACCGAACTTCGATCAGGCAAAGCTGTGAAATCGATGTGCTCTGATCTCTTTCTCTCAGGTCTGCTGCTGATTGGGGTTGGGCCAATCAAGCCTTAGAGCCTTTTTCTATGCGTTTCTCCTCCCGCTAGGTGAGATGCCTGGGAGAAATTGAGCTAGCCCTCCTACAATATACTCATCATTGATTGGCTTTTAGGACTTCCTGCTTTTTCAGTCTCGCCTCTGGATTGGTCGTGAGGCTTTCATCTACTGTCCCGGGCCTGCGCAGTGAGGTGAGGGGGCGGTGCACAAGATGGCGGCTGCTGGGGCCGGTGTGGGCCGGCTCGAAGAAGAGGCGCTGCGGCGAAAAGAACGACTAAAGGCTCTACGGGAGAAAACTGGGCGCAAGGTGAGGAATGGGAAGTGGGGGAGTGTGTTTGGAACGGCCCACTTTCAGAGTCTGGGTTAGGGGTAGGAGGACAGTGGACGAGAGGAAAAAGTTAACTTCCAAGTGTGCGCATGCGTGAAAGGCTAGCGCAGGCGTGAAGCCTCAAAACCCGCCCACTCAGGCTGGCTGGTGGAAGCCCGCACGGGAGCCCTGGTGCATGCGCGGCCCCGGGTAGGCGGGGCGTGGTCCGCAGTCCCTCCCTCCCGAGACCTACCTTTCACCTCCTCCCTGGGGTTGCACGGATGCTTCTAAGGTCAAGTGGCCCTCGGGTCCTTAAGGTGTGACTTGTTCGAGCCTGAACCTTCCCTTCCCCCGTGGCCTGATGGGCGTCTCACCGCGATTCTTGAGATTTTTAGGATCTGACTCTCCCTTGTTTCCCATCGTGCACGGATTGGGACGGCAGTTTGCGCCTGGAGTCGTTGAATGCAAAAACAACAACAACAACAAAACCCTCAAAAAAACCCTACAAAAGAAAAGGCCAGTCTCTAAGTGCAAGTGGCCTGCATGGAAAAAGGTGCTTAGTTCGTTCCTATTATTTTTTGGAGTTAATAGCCTTATTAGTTGCCAAATTCAAAAGGTTTTCTTGCCCGCTCTCATTTGAATCAAATGATGCTTTTGTTTGTATGATCTCTGATTCCGTTTTTACTTTGCGTATTTATCCACATAAATGAGATGAACTCCGAAGTTCTGTCCACGTGGTCAAGGCTGTGTCCTTGCCACTCGAAGCAGATTACCCGTTCTTCCTGAGCCCTGGGCTTTCCATGTGTCCTGCAGGAATGGGTTAACAGCTCTTACACTTTCACTCTCACTAGGTTATTTTGAGATCTAACTGTGTGAAAGGGCTGTGGAGACAAGGGAGGGCTGAGATTGTTGGGCTGCTGTTATTAGATGGGTGAGATCCGAATGCTACAAGGCATTACCTATCCAAGGGTACAGGGACGAAGACCTCCATTTTTCAGTTCTTAAAAATCAGGATGATAAATCAGCCTCCTGCATCGCTGTTTGGCTGCCCAGTGTCCTAGGGGAAAGCAAAATGGGGAAGTAATAGTGAAAGCTGGCCTGATTGGCTGTTGCTTTATGTTGGCAGCGCTCAGCTGTCAGTTTTCCCATACTGCTTGTCCCAGAGGAGCTCAAACTGATGGTTCCAGGGTCTGATCCACTTGAATTTTTTGCCTAGATTATTGTGCTTGGGTTTGTGGTAGAAAATGAGAAGCAGGAGAGCATCATGAGGACTCACAGGCATGGGAAGGTGAGAAAGATTCCCTAGGCCACCAGGAGAACTGGCCTTTAGAAGGGGGATGCCCTCAGTGGGTTCAAAATACGGCCAAGTTGTTATTGTTGTTGACTTAAAATTCACAATTTTGGCTTCCAAAAAGTTCTGGCAGTGAACACATTTCTGAAAAATGTGCACTTGGAAATCACATGACTTCTCCATTGGAACTGAGAGCTGACACTTTGAGTTTCATTCATTCTGTTTAAGAATCAGGAGTTATGTTGAAATCACCCCCCGCCACCCTACAGTCTATTGAAGCAGTTTCTGGTATTCTCTCCTGTCCAAGAGCTCTAGATTTCCCCCACTCTTTTTTTTTTAGATTTCCCCCACTCTTGACCCCTTATTTCAGGTTAGGAAGAAGTAGTTAGAACTTGTGGTAAACTTTATAGTTTACACACTTTGGGGTCAACAGTGACTCAGAAGCAGGAGTGAACTACATGTGGCTTGGATTGAAACAAATTATTGGAGCTTGGAATTCATATGAGCCCTTACTGTGTGCCTGCTATTCAGGCACTGAAAATGTAGTGTCCATTTAGCTGGGGAGACAGTGGACCAAAGCCTTGTGTGGCGAGTGTTAGAGAAGAGGCTAAGAGAAAAGCAAAGAAAGAAAGAGAGATGGGAGTAGTACATCCACTCTCATTTCTCTCAGTTGCTCTAATAAGTTCATTGTCTTTATTAAAGAGAGTGTGATGGTTTCAAATTTAGCCTGGTAAGTTTTGCTTCTACGTTTATCTTACCTGGTTGTGTTCACAACCCTGAGAAGAAAAATAAGGGTTATTCTGTGTGTGGGTGTGGGTGTGGGTGTGTTTGTGTTTTAAGGTAGAAACACCAAGGCCAATAAACATCAGTGGTTTGCCTAGAGTCACTTGACTGAGAAGGGTCCCAGGTGAGGCTTAGGGTTAGAGGGGCCATGAGAACATGTGGAGACTTTGTACACTGACTTGGAGTAAGTGTCCAAGCTAAGGAGGGAGTAGTTCCTCAGTACTGACTCTGCTGTATACCTTTTGGGTTTTGTGTGGATGTTGTGGATTGAATTATGTCCCTCTCATCCTAGAAACTGTATCATAAATCCTAACCCCCTAACCAGTGTCTGGTACCCGGTGTATTGCTAACCAGTAGGTCAGTGGTTGGAACCTACCGTCTGCTCTTTGGGAGAAAGATGGGCGGACTTCTCCCATAAAGATTTGTAGTCTTGGAAGCTTGATGGCATGTTGTTTTGGGAGAATTAATTTGGTGACAACTGTTGTTGTTGGGTGCTGGCAGTCAGTTGGTTTATTAAGTATCTGTCCTCGGGAGCCATAGTAGCACAATGGTTCAAGTACACGAATGGTACTTTATACACTGGTCTCAAACTCACCAGCTGCTCTGTGGAAGAAGGATGTGACGGTCTACTGTAAAGAGATATACAGCCTCGAGACTCCAGAAGCCTGTTCTTCCTGCAGGTTTGAGGTCACTGAGAATTCATTCCATGACAGTGGGTTTTATACCTGTGGTTATGATCCCATTTGGAGATGGACTTTCTTGATTATGTTAATGAGACAGTGTAGCATATGTCTTGAGTCAATCTCGTCAGATAGGAAAGGAGTGAGGGGGCAGAGATAGGAGAAGATGGGTGCCAATTACGTGAAGCTTGCCAAGGAGCAGAAGCTCAAAAGAGATAAGGACTTTCCTCCAGAGCCCTCCGAGAGAAAACAGCCTTCCTCTAAGCTTAGCACTCTGAGTTTGGACTTCTAGCCTCCTAAACTGTAAGAAAATAATTTTGTGTTTGTAAAAGCCAGCCACTTGGGGTTTTCAGTTACAGTAGCAGTGGGCAGCTAAGACAGTGGATTTCCTTCTCAAGAAAACAATAGTGAAAATGGATTGTAGGTCCTGAGACCAAGCTGCTTATATAAACACATAAATTGTATAAAGCCTCATTCTGACTGTCCTTCCCAATGATATCTCCCTCCAAGAGGACACCAGATTTTGGTCATCCTGACCCACTGTGAGAGGATGCCCGTGACCTTGCTCTTCCTGTTGGCTCTTTGGAGCTGCAGCCACCAAACCAAGGATTATTAGGGTGAAGGTGCACTCTCAGGTGGGCTCCTTTCTCCCTCTGTTGTTGAGAACCTGTCTTTGAAAGGATGTTAATAACTTGAAATCCCTTCCCTTGTGGGAGGGCGGTCATGACTTCCCCCTCTCACAATGCTGCCAATGTCTTTCCTGGGCGCAACCTCATTTTCCACAGTTCTCTACTGACACATTTTCTAGGCTAGGGGCCTGGGGGAACAAGTGCAAGGGCTGAAATTCTGAGTCATATTTTCTCAGCCCACAGGCTTTTTTTGTGGATGTGTAAGCGGTGAGGTCGGGGAGGAAGTGTGGACTGCCTGCTGCTGTAGATAAGGCCCCAGGAGTGTCCTCTCAGGAAGTTTCTCCACATTTTTGGTTCAGTCTTCTGATAGGAGGATGTACGCCCAGTACCACAGACTGCAGGCCTGAGCATGTTCTCGACCTCGCCTGTCAGTGGGCAGTGACTGACTGGTCTCCTGATAGCCCCTGCATTGAATTTTTGTTGTTGTGTACTGTCAAGTTGGAACCAACCCATGGTTGGCCCTCCAGTAGGTTTTCAGAGGCAGTAAATCACGGGGGAGGTGACTGCTCATCTTTCTCCTTCAGAGCAGTTGGTGGATTTGAACTGTGTACCTTTGGGTTGGCAGAGTATTTCTTTACTGCTAAGCCACCAGAGCTCCCTCCTTCATCCAGTACCTACTGTGAATTTGATTTTGGGTTTTCTTCCTTTCCCCACTCTATAGTAGACTAATTTTAATTATGTAATTATGGAGGAATCAGAGTTCTGCGACTGCGGCAAGTGAAGTGATGCATATTAAAGGTTATAATGTTTATTCAGCATGAAACTCTCCTGTAGTTGAGTAGTTCTGTGCGTTCACAGAACACTTCCTTGTCAGTCCACCTGATGTGACAGACTTATGAGAGGGACGAGGCAAGGGGTTCATAGGAGCTGAGACACCCAGGGTTATGGAGCTAGACTGTGATGGTTTTCAGCTTTCCAGTTTATGCCGGAGGCTGTGGGAGGAGGGTCCCACGCAGGACACATCTGGTAGTAGGACGAGGCGGCTTCTTTTGTAGGTCAGCAGTCTCGACTGACAGGTGGAAAGGCAGTACTGGATTGTGCTGCTAGGATTCATTTCCTGGGCCATCCGGCCAAGTTCTGGAAAACTGTAGGGAGAACCAAGGAGAATTGGGAAGTGATGGGCGAGTTGAGGAGGTGGGAAGAAAAAGGGTTGTTCATATTGGAACATTTAAGAACGTGGAGGTGACTATGGGGTTTGCTCTGGAAGACTTGGCAGCAGGGTACTTGGCAGATTAGAGGTATGAATGTGGTCTGAAAGTGCCAGGCTTGATGCTTTATAGCCAGGTTTTATAGATGTCAGTGTTTCCAGATGGTAGGGCAGCCAACCAGGGCACCAGATGTCTGTGTTGTACTTGAATTTCACTTCTTAACATTCATCAGAAATCCCAGTCTGGGTGAGTAGGTGAATGGTCCAAGACTCTGTGGATGAAGCCACATCTCTCTTCAGTGCTGTCCCACAGCGCCCTGTGAGGCTGCTCTGACGCCCTCTGACTTCTTCATCTGGAGGTTTCTGAAGCTGATGAATTTAGCACAGACACTTGCCCCTTGGCCCCTCAG